AGATATTTTTTCAATGTTTGTATGTTTTTGCATGTTAAATGGGTTTGAAGTCAAAATGTTGTAGCTTAATGATGAAAAAAGACCTCTGATTTGCATTTTGAAGTTACATATTGTGCAAATCTATTTCCACGCTAATAGGCCTGGGCCTCATGTACCAACGGTGCGTATGCCCTTTGCCACGCAAAACTCCGTATGTATCAAAACTGAAATGAACGTGGAAATGTGCGCAGCTCCACACCAACTCCACGGCTGGTGTACACACGTTTATGATCTACTGGCGCCGGAATAGTGGGGGCCAGGGGGCCACTGGCTCCCCAACTTTACGGCCCTGCCCATCAGCAGGTCCCACRGACATTTACAAGCTGCACCCAACGCTGACAAGTTTTGACGGATGTCTCTCGGTCTAGATACAGACAGAGGCACAGACAAAACCGACAGCATTAAGATCAGGGCTGAATCTGTTTATAAGTCATCAGATCCACATGGCTCGGTTTTGTTGCACARCGCTCAGCTGACGATGCRTGMACGCTAGCAAGCTGGAGGCTGGAGTTTATCTACTTGACATTTCTGTTGGTGAAGTATTCTCCAAAAAGCAGTACAGTTCATAACTTGTACAATGATTTGAAAATGAGAACAAGCTCTTGATAATAAGTTAATAAAGTATTTAAATGGGGAGCAGTGCACACAACCCGAACAGTCGGAGAGTTTACTCAAATTCTCCAGCTCTGGGTCCGGCTGATGATGAGCCTGCCTGACACGTGCGAAAAACGTTTTGGTTCTGGTCTGATCCCATCCGGGTGGATCAAATCAGCTTAAAAATAAAATAAGAATTTTGTATTTTGTGCYACATCTCTGGCCCAAACCTGCGCAAAACCATCCGATCTCCAGATCCAAGCTGACGGGTTGTGGAGAAAAAAACCCCCAATAAATAAAGGAGCCCATGATCCTTTACAGGTCCGGTCCAAATGCTCACCTACTGTATATTTGGCCCAGAGCAGATAACTTTTCCTGCCAGTGTTGACAAATAATTGCGTGGAGTAAATAATTGCGTGGAGTTTGTCATGATTGTTTCTGTCCAAATGTTGCTGCGCTGCTGACAGGGTTGCTTTGGAGAAAATGCTGCCAGACGAGGAAATGTTATTTTCTTTATTTTCCCCCTCAAAATAAAGTTTGTTGTTAATTACGTTACTTAAATCGTTTGCTTTACTCACCATCTCTTGAGTAAAAATAGTATTCCAGCACAAGTTTCTGACCCGCTGTTCCAAACTCCAGTGTAGATATTCTTTATGTGTTTAGTTTTTTTCATGGTCATTTGTTAAGAAGTTAGATTTACTATGATCATCATTAAAACAATCACAGGTGAAAACTTCATTATTTAATTGTTGATTGATGATGAGTCGATACAGGTAAAGCTTGATGAGTAATTAAACTGTTATAAT